GCTTGAGATGGATTAATGATTGTGCATTGAGTATTGACTCTCCTATGCAGAATTTTATTGTTGTTAACAACCATTTAATCTCTTGGACATAACACGAGCAACTTCTTCATGAACATATGTCCCCAGGCAAGGGAAACAAAAGCAAAAAAGAACAAGTTGGACTATATCAAACTAAAAAGCTTCTGTACAGCAAAGGACATCATCAGCAGGACAAAAAGACATCCTACAGTATGGGAGAATATATGCATAAATGACATATCCGATAAGGGGTTGACATCCAAATTATATAAAGAGTTCATGCACCTCAACAAACAAAAAGCAAATAAGCCAATTAAAAAATGGGCAGAGGAGCTGAACAGACACTTCTCCAAAGAAGAAACTCAGACGGCCAACAGGCACATGAAAAGATGCTCCACATTGCTAATCATCAGAGAAATGCAAATTAAAACCACAATGAGATACCACCTTACACCAGTTAGGATGGCCAACATCCAAAAGACAAACAACAGCAAATGTTGGCGAGGATGTGGAGAAAGGAGAACCCTCCTACACTGCTCGTGTAAATGTAAAATAGTTCAACCACTGTGGAAAGCAATATGGAGGTTCCTCAAAAAAATAAAAATAGAAATACCACTTGACCCAAGAATTCCACTCCTAGGAATTTACCCTAAGAATGCAGCAGCCCAGTTTGAAAAAGACATATGCACTCCTATGTTTACTATAGCACTATTTACAATAGCCAAGAAATGGAAACAACCTAAGTGTCCATCACTATATGAATGGATAAAGATGATGTGGTACATATACACAATGGAATACTATTCAGCCATAAGAAGAAAACAAATCCTACCATTTGCAACAACATGGATGGAACTGCAGGGTATTATGCTCAGTGAAATAAGCCAGGTGGAGAAAGAGAAGTACCAAATGATTTCACTCATCTGTGGAGTATAAGAACAAATCAGAAACTGAAGGAACAAAACAGCAGCAGACTCACAGAACCCAAGAATGGACTAACAGTTACCAAAGGAAAAGGGACTGGGGAGGATGGGTGGTAAGTGAGGGATAAGGGGAAATAGGGGCATTATGAGCACACATAATGTGTGTGTGGGTGCCACGGGGAAGGCAGTATAGCACAGAAAAGACAAGTAGTGATTTTACAGCATCTCACTACGCTGATGGACAGTGACCCCAGTAATGGGGTATGTGGTGGGGACTTGATCATACGGGGAGTCTAGTAACCATAATGTTTTTCATGTAGTTGTATATTAATGATAGCAAAATATGTATATATAAACTCAATAAAAATGCTATATATTTGGGAAGTCAACCTCAACTTTAAGGTCATGTATTTATTGTGAGAATATATTTACTACAGAAGTCTCCTATTATAACATGTACTTGTTAATATGTTAAGAAAATACTTGTTCAAAAGTTTCACTTTGAATAGTTTTTGGTTCCCCACTATCTATAACAGAACAGGAACATAGTTCAGGAAGTATCACTATTTCTAAACAAATACACACCAGTTTCCAGTAGATTTGTACTTAGCAGGGATTTTGCTACATTATCCTTGCAGCTTTGCATTTGTGCTAAGAAGGTTTTTTTTAGTGCAACAGAAGACAATTTTTTTGTTTTTTGGGTTTTTTTTTTTGCTTAATTCTGGGAAAAGGAAAACTTCCTCAATAATACATAAGTTTTAAGGTCATAAGTGAAACTTGTTATCTACTGATACCTGTGGATAGGACATCATATTATGTGCTATTTCCTTAGCTGGAAAAGTAGAGACAATAGTAGCCCTGACCACTTAAAGTCCTTTTTAGGATTCAATGAGAAATGTAGGTAAATTGCTAAACAGTACCCAAATTATAATTAAAGAATCAATAAATGTAAATTATTTCTGCACATCTTTCCACTTTCATGTCAATTACTATTTTATATAAATATTGCTCCACCACCTCCACTCTGCATTTTGCTACTTGGCATTTTGCTTAACCTGAATATAATGCAGGAATAAATTACTCAAGAAGTGCATAGAAGGGAGTACTAAGCCAGACTGGGCACAAGGAATAGCCAGCCTCCCCTGCTAGACCGGAAAATAACCAAAAAACTAGTGAACTTAAAAAATAAAATTTCTGTACGGCAGCAATAAGTAAGAAAGCTGAAGCCCAGAGTTTATGAGTGACTCGCCCAATGCTGGGCAGTTCTTTAGTGAATTGGCTATGCCTCCTCAGCTGAGAGCTGGAATCCAGGTCTCGAGATCCAGCCCATGAGCTCTCTCACTAGTTTATATGAACTCAATACACTAATCTAGGCTCTAAAGGGCTTTATCAAATTATAAGGCATGTTTCAATCTACTGTCTCTTTCTCAGTATGTCAACAAGACGTGAAACAATTTCAAACATCACTAAATACAGCCCACAGCCTATAAAATTTTTAAAGAGCCTTGGAGAATCAGAATTGAAGAGCGTATTCACAGGGACTACCGGATAAGTGCGGCTGGAAGAGATGCGGAGCTGGTTCAGAGTACCAAGTATCAGAAACTGTTAACGGAGGAGACAAGCTTTTACTCAGAAAGTAGGAAAACGTAAAAGGTAATTGGGCCACACAGTATCTACTCTTCTTGCTCACAGAGGGGCCCGACAAACAGCAGTACCTGGGGAGGAGATACCTACGGCATTTTGACATTGACAAAAGCACCACCACCGCTGGACAAACACCAACGATACCGACAACAGAACCTTCCGAGGGAAATGCTGGAGCCTGAAAAGCGCGGGCGAGCGGGCACTCGACGCTGTGTCACATTAACGCGGTCCGCCGGAAACACCCTCTCCGCGACAGGGGATCCGAGTGTATGCGGGGACTGGGGGAAGGGAGTCTACGCCTAGGACCGTAACCAGTCCCTGCCAGTGACCTCTCTCATGTCTCTGGCCACAACAGCTCCCTAGAGAGGAGCGCCAGAGCCGTCTCTGTATCCTCTGGATTTACGATCCCTAGATTTCTAGCCGGACCATTTGGGGAGGTGCTCTACATCTTATTTCCGGTGGCGGAGAGGTGCAGTTGCCATGGTAATTAAAGAAAGGCCGAGGTCTGTCGGCCGGCGGGGAGAGGATCTCGGAGTCTGCGAAGAGAATTGGCTGCGCTTCCTCTCGTGTGAGCTGAAGTTAGGTAGCAAACAGCTCAGTGTCTCTGTCTCTTCGCCCGCTTCGTCCCTCACTGTTGGCTGCCTTTTCTCTCATGTGCTTCTTTTACTTCTCTGTCATGCTAACGCTTGTCCATGTGTGTGCCTAACCTGTACATATAAATGTAGTTTTATGCCCAGAGGAATACAAAAATAGATGTTGCCCGAGATCCACAGTGAGCGTATTTCACTGTGTAGGGGACGCTGACTGGATGGCTCTGTTTTCACTCGGCCCTTTAGAAGCCGTAGGCGCTTTTTAACAGTTTATTTTTCTTGCTTTTGTGTGGTTGGTTATTTATGGAGCCGTTTGCTGCAATGTACTCTCTAGGCCCCTGTCTTGGTCTCGGGCTGGAGTTTTAAATGCAGGGGGTTGCCAGGCCCGAGGGATGCAATTATGTATTTATTTAAGCCTCAGTTTAGTCTCTCGTCGCAGAAAGGGAAAGAATAGAATTCCGGAACATTTCTGCGGTGGGATTTCCAGGTGAGGGAGTCACCTTATTTGACAAGAGTATTCGAGGACAGTCCTAAGAAAAATACTTAACATTTTTAAATGGATTGCTGCAAAATGAACATTCATTCTCCCTTCCTCACTGAAACAGTTTTCACTCACATTTGTGGGGAGATGCATTCACGCATATGTGTTTAAAACTCTGATGCTTAATTATAGTAATACCAATTTGCGGTAACCAGACTGTGACACCTCATCCCTGTGGGGGTCCTTCTAAATCTGGTGCAATATGAAAGTGTCAGGCAGGCGGTGTGTGTGTTATAAATAGGGTACTTCATCCATGATAAGCGATTATTATCTTTCTTTCCCAAGTGTAAAAGACCTATATAATTCAAGAAGGTGCAAGTGATTGAGGCCTCCTGAGTAAGAATCCAATGAGTCCTGAAGGGGACTCTACCTGTGTCGTTGTCTTGTTGAACTTGAAATATTCAATTTGTTAGGTTGGAATGTATTTTTAGAAGTCAAAGCTGTGTAAAATAATGTTGGAAGCTTTTAGACCACCAGCACAATTCAGTGCCGCACAGTAACTGCTGTACAAGAATCCTCCACTCAATAATAAAGAAGAAACTGTTATTGAAATTTACTGCCTTTTGCTCTTTACTACTGGATAGGTGACATCTCTGTTCCTCAATTTTCTTATCTGTAAAATGGACCAAAAATACCTGACTACTGCAGTAAGGATAAATCAACACATATGACAGTTCTTTAAGCTCTTAGGAGCAGAGATGCTGTATTAACCCAAAACATTGTTAGTAGTAATGAAACGATAAAATCTCATGGTAATGCTATAAATGGGATTTTTAAAATTTAGTCATTTAAAATGTGGGACTGCACTTTTGAGATGTTACTGAAATGACTGGTTGATCCTGCTTTGTAGAAGAATGCCAATCACATCATATCCAAATTCTCATTATTGTGGAGTTTCATTTTATCTACAGTTTATTAGCACTTACTATGTGCCCAACACTGTTCTATATGCTTCACATGTATTAACTTATTTCATCTTCATGACAACCCAGTGAAGAGTCTCTTACATAACTGTCCTCTTGTTTTGAGGGAATAGATGTGTGCTTTTCCATTGTCCATGATTCTTCTTTTGTATGGTCATCTTTGTTTTGGCTTTGTTTTTTAAAATTTGGCTTATTCTCACTTAACATATGGCAATTCAACCTTCTGCGTATTATAATGTTTGTCTTTTTTTTCCATTTACAAAAACTCTATCTTGATTTTTTCTCCCCTTTTGAAAAAAAAGGTAACATTTGCATATTAAAGGATTAACATTGACTAAAACAAATTTAAAATTATTTTCCAATAGAATGGCCATCAGTCCCAAAAGTGATGCAGCTTTCTTCATTCAGAAATCAGTGCTTTCAGAGAGTCCTCGAACAAAGAAATGTCCACTAACTGAAGAAGAGATATTTTATAAGAATTGTAGAGCTGCCTACTTAACTGTTTTCAAAAGCAGCTTAGACAACATCATTTCTAAAGATCAACTTTACTTAGGTAAAAGGTTTTTTAATTTTAAGTATTTTGCCTTATTAACTGAAAGTTAAAAGATCAGAAAGACTGGAATTAGAATTACATTGTTGAATCATCCCAATTTCTTAGTGAAGCTTAAGCAGTGGAACTACATTATGGTATTATGCCGTTGTTTATAGTTACATATTCTATGAGCTTCAAAATAAAACTTTCAATGTTTACACAAATTATGTTAGTATTTTTAAAGCTTCCATCAATTACTTAAAAATATTTTTTTATTCTCATTTTTATACCTAAAGATTTATAATAATAGAATTAAAACACTTTTAGCATCTGAATTACTAGCCTAAATGTGACCTATATTGGAGATAATGTAAAGATTATATAAAAAATGGTTTGAATAACTGTAAAAGAGAACTATTAGCAAAGAAGTGAAATTGTAAGAGATTAAGAATTCTGGTTTTTGTTTTTGTTTGATTTAGTTTGGTTTATGTGGGTGGGGATTATTTGGATTTTTTTGCTTCTGTCCATTATCTCATCTTAAATTACTCTCTGCTGCAAATATCCCCCAAACCAATGAATTTGGTCATTTCCAGGAATGTAAGTCACTTGTAGATCTTTTGTTTGAGAGAATGGTTAACAACAATATCTGATAACACTGAATACTCATTTTATTAGGCTAATTTCATTAAGACTAATAGACTTTATGAGTAGAGAAACTGAATTATTTTGAGAACTATAAAAGCAATTTCCTTAGGTAAAAAATCTGACATGTTTGTAACAATGTCTTCAGTTTATATGCAATAAGATCCTCTATTTGAGGAAATCCATTATGAGGAATATGAAACTTGGAAAGATTAAAATACTGATTTTATTATAAACTATAATTTTAAATTTTTTCTCTTTATTTTTTTGAAAATAGGCTGAGATCTGAATCTCAATTTAAATGTTCAACATCCCTTCCACTACTCTGGCTTTAAGTTTGTGAATCAGTGAATATGTAATACTAAGTGCTGAGTCTTACAAAATTATCTGGGAAGATAATGTAGTGTTTTTCTTGTCCTTGTTACATACACTTTTAGTTTTAGGGTGGAATATTTTTTTGTAACATTGTAATGATTGATTTCAGATAATCTAGATTTTTAAAAACTAGTGTGAATCAGTCTCTTTCTTACTAGTGTCTTTCATCTATATCCTTCTGCCACTTATGCACATAACATGTGATTTGACATGACATTTCAATGTCAGATTGAACACTATCATTACCAGAGCTTTAGAGGTCCTTTTTCGCCAACTCAGAAATAGTACAGGTGTTGCAGACTTGTATCAAAGCTTAAAGTAAACCCTGGCAAAGATCAGTATCATGGCGTAAACCTTTAAACACGTATTGTTATATAATGTTTTAACTGTTATCAGACTCAAAAGGCTCCCACTAATTCTAAAACCAGAGATTAAAGTCAATAGTTGTTAAGTTATATCTATTTCTTAGATATGGAAACGTGTGCTTACTGAGTACCTGTTTTTGCATAATTAATTTTATTCTGAGAAAGTTGTTCTGTAATTAACAGTACATTTAAAAGATAATTTGTTATTGAAATAGCCAACAAGTGTATGCTGAGCTGCCACTTGTGGGAGTTACATACCTATTTCCCCAAAGCTGGACAGAAAATAGCATTTTCTTTCAAATGGACTTGTGACTTCAAACCACAACTTCATCTGGGTCTTATCTGTCCTCCCAGTTTTTAAAGGGTGGACTTTGGCTGGGGAATGGAACCCTAAAATGCATATGCCTTTTTCCTGATTCTCTTAGCAGATGAATTATGGTATTGTCTTTTTATATACTAGGCAAGATACTTATCTGTTATTCCTGGGGCAGCATGGTAATCAAGGCCTTTGTCTACATCCAAAATAAACCTGTAGAAATAGAGCAATTATATTTTCTCCATTGCTACAAATTTCACAAAGGCTTTCTGGCTGAATGGAAGGTGGCAATTAATTATAGCTACAACTTTTGTTAACTCTGAAAGTTATGCATCTCTTTTTTGCTAAAGCTCTGTAGGTATGATGCACTGGCATAATCTGGAGAATGGGAACATTTCTCTTAGTCTATGGACTTCTAATATGTTATTACCATAAATCATAACCACAGGTGGCAATTCTACAAAGAAATAAGAAATTCGTACCTCTGGAAAAAAAAGAACACTGCCTTATGCTTGTACATATTAATAATCTATATAATACACTCACAAATATCTATATTTATTGCCCTGATCTGGTTTCTCTTTCCTTGAGGATATTTCTTTAGTTAAATTGTTTTATATGAATTAGTCTTTACTACATTAAATAGTAGACTATCTTGGATATCATTTTTTTAGTGTTCATTCACATATATGGATCTTGTGAAATTTCACCTAGATAGTTGGAAATACCCAATGCAGCTTTTATAATAGAAGCTGGAGGTACAAATCAGGACAGTTATACCTTTTAAAATGCTGATAATTCCTTCTATAGTGCTTAGAAAACTTACCATTGGTTCATTTTAGATGTTAAGTCTTAATATGCAGAGATTTATTTGAAAATTACCAAGTTACTCCAATTCAACTGTACAAAATATCTAAAATTCTTTAAAACCATTATATTTTGGTGTGATATGACATATGCAAATATACAAAGTCTTTTTCGCATCATAATTCTTTGCCTTTCATAGGTACAAGAACATGGCTTTTAAAATAAGAATCTCTTATGAATAATTGGTTATGGGACGATTTTTAAATGTTCTGGTTAAAAATGAAAAACAGTTTGACCGTTCATCTCTAAATAGTCTTCCCTCAAAAGATGCTGACATTCTTGATTTTTAGCAGGACCATAACTATGAGTAGATACTTTCTGTGCATTTTTTTGACACTTGGAACATGATTAATGTTCTCAAAGCTCTAGTATCTAGTAATGATGAGTATTTTAGGTACCATTGCTTGTTAGCAGTATTACTCTCAAACTATTGATTTTCTCATTTCATTAAGCTAAAAAGTACTAATTTATGTTATTGTGTTATTCTTATGTCTCAAAATAATTAAATGGATGGTTGTTTTTAACTTTTTTTTCCTCTAGGCATTCTTTCTCAGTGAATCAGATATTATCAGTTAATTGAACTATGTAGGTTGAGAACCAACTGTGGAAACATCTATTTAATTCTGGCATTAATAAGTCAAGAATCTTTAGCTGGTAACATACACACACACACACACACACACACACACACACACACACACACACACATACATACACATTTTAATTTTTGAAAGTCACGCACATACTGATAGCACTAAATTATCAACACCAAAGGTATGTGTATACTCCTATATAGTATTGTAATATATAATGATTTCAAGAAAAAATACACTTAAATATCAATTCCAATTGTTACCATAACAAATAATACTTGTTTTATTGGGCAGCTCTTCAGCATGCAGGAAGAAATCCATCCAAAAAGATCATTAATAAGTATTGGACTCCTCAAACTGCCAAACTGAATTTTGATGATTTTTGTATAATTTTAAGGAAGGAAAAACCTACTTCAAAAGCAGAACTGCTGGAATCATTTAAGCAATTAGATGTAAATGACGATGGCTCTATTTTACACACTGACCTTTATAAACTTCTAACAAAGGTAAGGTCTGTAGAATATGCGTATTTTGCAAAACAACTTGGATCTAGCATTGGCTATCAAAGTCCACATTAAAATAACTATTTCATTAGCAAGTGAAGTGAATCATATGTATTGTTTATAAAGTACTTAAGGATCCTTCTTGGTGGAAGGTGCTTTATAATAAAAGATAAAGTATAAAATTGAGCCCATGTTGCAAAGTTACTTGTGCTTCCTTGCAACTATTTCCTGCCCAGAATTCTTTGTAAATCAGTGATACAGTCATATGTGATAAGTAAAAGAGAAACAAAGTATAAATGGGATTAGGAATCCTTTTGTTCTCTTGGTACAATATGAGAAAATATCATTACTCTTAATTCAATAGTAGTTATTACTGGATGTATGATATATATTAAAATTTAGTAAACTGAAAGCACACTTCTACAAAATTGAATGAAAGTGTGAAATTTTACCTAACAGTTTTATTCTTGCTTGCATAATATTCATTTTTAGATTTGTGATGAAACCATCTATTCAGACTTACTTGTAGAAAAGATTAAAATGAATTTCCACTTTCCACATGCATAAAAAGTGATACCATGTTGCTTCAAAACAAATCTTGTTTTTTCAGAGAGGTGAGAAGATGACTCAAGAAGAAGTAAATGCCATAATAAATTTGGCTGATGTAAATGCTGATGGCAGATTTGACTACATGAAGGTACATAATGCTCATATTGATGTAAATTTGCTTACTATGTAGGAGACATAGTTTTAAAGGGGCACATCTTTTTCGTATTGACAATGGAATACTTAATATATTATGTACTAATTGTACTTGAAATTTAATCTCTTCAGTCCCACAATTGTAAGCTGATATCTATGTTAAAAATAATATAACTTATGTTAAAATATATGCATATGGACATATACACATGACACATGCAAACATAGAGACTCACCTCAGAAATATGCCTTTTCTGGGGTAGAAGAATCATAAAAATTATTTAGGACAAATGGAAGTCTACATGTCTTATAAAAAATAATAAATCAACTCTCTTTGTGTAACATTTTATTTTCTCTCAGAGTATGACCTCATTGAATCATGGCTACATTTCACCAGGTCACTTGAGGGTGGTCAATCTGATTCAAGAAAATAACATGACTAACCTAGCTTACTAGGAAATATATTCTTCAATCAGTCTATCCATTGCCTACTAATGTGCATTTGCCTTCTCCCAAATGTATGATTGAATGTTTTACCAACTGGGCTACTTTTTTATTTCCTATAGTTTTGTAAATTATATATGACAACCAATGAGCAATGTCTTAAAACTACTCTAGAAAAACTGGAGACTGACAGTAAATTGAGGTGTCAACGGTTTGGAAGCCACATTGAAGTGTCTCCTGAAAGGGACCCATTACCAATAACAAAATCGCCTAGAATCATAAGAAAAACTGATCAGGAAATATTCTCAAGTAAAGGTATTTACTTTTGACACAGAATTTCTTGATCAAGATGGAGGGTCATATTCAAGTAAGTTTTTCCTTCTATCTTGACTTACCAGTGATAAAACAAATGAGAATCCAACTTCTGTTAGCTACCGTTTCTAGACTCTAAGCTGTAAAAATCTGTTGAAGTAAAATTTTATTGCGGAACTTGACTTGGCTATACTCATTATATTTTATTAAAACTAAAATTTCAGGCTAAAAAGTGACATATTGAAATAAAGAATCTTATTAGTAGCCCATAAATTAGGGACCATTAAAGCCTGATAAATATAAAACTTTGGATTTTATTTCAATAGGAGGAACAAAGAGAATGAAATTAACACACACACCTTTTATACTACACAGTGTTTAGAAACAAATTTTCTAACCAAATAACTATTATTTGTTACAGGTGACACCAGGAGTTCTTTACTGACAACAACGAGGAAATTCAAAACGTCAGTTTCCTTCACAATTACCATGAGTGCTAATAGTAACCAAAACTCAAAGTTAACTGAGCCTAACTCAATAAAGGTATAGTATTTTAAATTAGTAAATATGGCTTTTTCTGAAAATAAAATTGGTATTGTTTATTAATAACTATTTTGTGTTTACAGAGAACCAGTAAAATTATGAAGTAATTCTTTGAGGTTTTTCTGGGGATTGCAGCATTTCTGCTTAGAAGCCAATTGTAACACTTTTTAAGTGACTGAGAGTATATTATTAAAAGGTCTTTAGTTTGAAAATGATGACTCTTAAGTTTTCTAACTTGATGAGTATATTATCTAATTATGTACTTTGCCAAGCATTTTTTTGTTTTGTTTAATGAATACTTTCTATAGGTGTTTCTTATAAGTAAATCATTCATTCAATATCAATTCCTATGAAAGACAACAAAGACACTTTGCTAAGTCAATATTTGTAGAGTGTTAATATTGATCTTCTTCTTTTGTTTTCCCTTTCTAGACTCAACCTTTACTAGTTTTCTTTCAACAGAAAATAATAGCTACAGAAATATAAAACATTAACTGGAAACTGCTAGGATACATTAAAAATGTGTACCTAGAGACCTCTGTAAAAGGGGGAAAAATGGTTATGACCACATACTATAACTGCTGTTAGAAAACTGAACTGATTGTTCTCAAGAGCTACATTTTTGTTTCAAATAACAACTCTGTATTTGTTATTGAACTCTGAAGTCCCTTATATCTTTAAATTGCTAGACAGTGACATTTGTTCTATATTAAAATTTTAAAACATTATCTCCAAGGAATTCCGTTCCAACTGTTTTAGGAATCTATATACCCTAAGCAATTTGGTGTGCATGTCCAACATGTTCATGTACAATATTTAGTGTTCCAGCAATATTGTTTTCCACCAATGGAAGCTCCTTTGTATTTTGCAACTAAATTAAATGCTAATAAAATTAACTTAGTTAAGTATTTGTGGTTTATCTGATTCAAAAGTGTAAGTAGACATAATTTTAGCCAGCACAGAGATAAATACTAATATATATTAATATATATTACTAATATTACATTAACTAATATGTACTAATATTATATTAAGACCATAATAAGACTTTTACTCAGTGTCATGCTCTTGTTAAATGGGCCCATACCAATACAATTCCTTTAATGTAGTTCAGCTCAACAAATATTTAGTAAAAAGGTAATGTATGCCAGCTATTTTCTCAGTGTAAAATGTGTGCCTTGGATCAAAAAATAATTTTCATTTGCTTATTAACAATATACCAAGATAGTGTGGCATACTATTTCATTTATTCAAGAAGTATTTATTGAATAATTACTCTGTGCAAAGTACTATTCTAGGTGCTAAGAGCTTAAGAATTTGGGATTAGAGACCTGTGCTTGAATCTTAGCTTAATAATTTGTAACCTTTGGTAAATTAGTCTGCAGCCATTCTGAGTTTCCATATCTATAAATTGGGAATAATTAGATTTAGTATGTTTTTGAAAGATTTGAATTATTTAGCACATATAAAGCATTTAGCAGTGTGCTGTGGACAATAATCATAGTTATGTTAATAAATACTAGTGTTAATATTACTGTAGAACTAAGAAATGACTGTAGGTCTTTATATGGGAATCACATGATGAAAGTTTAGTTTCAGAAAAGTTATTCTACTATTGTATATTGTGTATGGAGACCTCAAATTAGGGAGACTATCTGAGAGGCTGATAGACTTACCCATGTATAAAGCTATGACAGCTAGGCCTAGGGTCTAACGGCCAAAGCCAAAATTAGTCTGTAGGCCATGGTGATTGTATAACAAAAGACTACTTAAATTTTGCATCCAAGCTATCGAAAGCAGGGAATGGTGGTGATGATAACTGGAAATTAGGTAAAAGGTACTAAGAGAATTTAATGATCAAAAGAAGATGACATACTGTCAACTTTTAAATTCTGTGACTTTGATATAAAATTTAATGTCTTTTGGAAATACTTCATAGACTTCATGTTACTTACCTGACTTTTTATATCCTATTTCTGATCTCAACATTGCCCACTGTTGTTTAACTATCTGATATTTCTTAGATGAGCTGAATTGATTTTTTAAAAACCCATGATCCTTTTGTTATTCAGCAGGATTCAGTTCTTTGCATTGTATATATTTCTTAAATTTCATAACGACTCTGAGAAGTACTTGGTTATAAATATAGTTATTGAATAACTTGTTTTAATATAGATTGATAGGATAAGTTACTAAAAGAATTGTTAAATTAATTTTCTTCAAATACTTTGAATCTATTTTAAACAAATTTGAGTATTTCAATTTCATGTGGAGTAAGAAAGGAGGGAATTGAGACAGAGAAGGGTCTTTTCAGAAATTAGAAAATTATTGTAATGGGGTATGCATAAGCCAGATTTTAAGCCATAAATCCACACAATTGGTAAAGCACCACCTGAATTACATGAGGAAAATAAGACCCTTATAATGAGGGACTATACATGTATTACTCTCTGTAAACCAAAATAAGGTACTGTATCACTATCCTTTTTTAATCCTGAATTCTTTCCACTTGCTTAGGTTTTTGTAATACACAAGGAGTGCCAGAAATTTTTGTTTGAGAGAGGAATAGCTTTAATTGACAATCATGACTAGAATTAGAGAAGGCCCCAAACTATCCGTTGTAAACTCTAGACTCAATATTTCCCATATCCAGACTCCTAGTTAGAATATGCCTACATATGTTTTACACATATTTCTATGTATATGTATGATACGAATATATTGTGCAACACATATATGTCTATGTGTATAAAACAATACAAATATAAACATTTTAACCTTGAAATAGTGGTCTAACAATTTTTGTGAAAACTTTTCTATTGTTCCAATAGTTTCTTCTATTTTCAAAATGTTGATCAATTCAACTTGTCACTTAAATGTCTATCATTTCAGTGGATAGCAAATGAATAGAATTCATGATTAAAAAAAGAGTAGTGACACAGTACCTTTTTTTGGTCTATAGAGAGTAATATATGTATAATCCCTAAAAGGGTCTTATTTCCCTCCTGTAATTCAGGTCCTTCAATTGAGAAGTTGACAAGTTACCAATTTTTCCCTTTAAAAATAATCTATTTAACCATTTATTTTCAAGTATGTACAGTTTATGCTTCTTTAATAACAAAAAGTTCAATAACTGTTTACCTAATGAAAAGCAAATAACTTTCTAATAGGCTATTTAAATAGGATGTCTTTATACAAAATGACAGTGATGATGATATTGATAATGATATATAAGTTCCTCCTCTAAGTCTATAGCAGATCTACTGCTTTAATAATTCTACCTCACCTAAAACTTTAATAATAATATGAAATTGTATGTCAAAAATTATGTTCTCTACAGGAGTCTAAGAAAAATGTAGCTTTACTCTTACAAGTTTTTTGATAGCTAAATTTTTAACATTTCTAGTTTTAATTTTTGATGTTCAATATTTCCTTATAGATTGTGAATGAAAATAAAATTTGTATATGACAGATAAATGAATTAACAGTTTTCCTTTTATAGGAATTTACCTGAATTGGTAGAATATAGCACCACCTAATGCCCTATGTTAGAATTACAAGCTACTATTTTATTCCTGTTTTATTGTAAAAAATTATATCATATATGTAATTTCTTACTCCATTATTCTAAATTATTTAAAAACGCAACCTTCTTCCATTTTTATCATAATATTCAAACCATCAAGTTAATCTATAATCCTTTCAAATTGATTTATTTGAATGAGCCATCATCTCTCATATTTATTGATCAAATGGTTGTTAACAACAATAAAATTCAGTATAGGGAGGTCAATGCTCAATGTACAATCATTAATCCATCTCAATTACTTTTTTCTTTTAATTCATAACATTTTAGTCTAGGTCCTAGAGAAAAGGTTTTGTGTGATTGACAGTCTGTTTGTTTTAAAGGAAATTTAGGTTGAATAAACGTTGTGTGTCTTATAAGTCCCAGATCTTAAGAATGTGATTTTTTCCTTTTAAACAGGACAGCTATGAATTCTCTTAGTAATGGTATTTAGTATTCAAAATAATATCATTATTATATTGAAGTTTGCTTGATATAAATAATGTGGCATTTGTCCTACTTCTGTTCTATAATAGCTTTTCCTATCATTTTCCAGGTTTTTTAACCATGTATGATAGCATGCAGCTTGGCTATATTTCCAAGGAAACTTGTAAATTCCTTTCTACCTGTACTTTTCCTAGAACTGGAACTAAGGAAAGGCTGCTAATGAAAATGCTTAACTCACTTGCTAGCCAAATTTTATACAGGCATCTCCTGTATGCTCACTAACAGTGTACCAGGGAAAGTGCATTATTTTTTAGTTTCATTTAACATTTTTTAAAACTTGGGGTGGGGTGGGGGCTGCTACTCCCATGATTACAATACAAATTTAGGAAATTCTCCAGCTACTAAAATCTACAATTTTTAAAAAGAAAACCAGGTAATTGTTTACCATAATACTTCAATGTATAAATTCCAAATGATAGTGCTATATCATACTTTATTATAATAATTTCATAAGAATAAAGTTTCTTTAAATACTAGCTTTTTTAAAACTCATTGTAGATATTTAAGTGTGAAAAAGATCATTGTTGAATATAGCTAGTAGTTTGGAGAGAAAGTAAGGAGACCTAGTTTCTAGCTATGGTACTGCAATCAATGAGAATTGTTACAAGCATGTCATTTTATTTTTTAGACTTTCCTCAATCTAAAGAAAGATCTGGACTGGATTGCTTTTTAAGACTTCTACCTGTAGTAATTTGTAATTCTAAATTAGATACTATCCCTTACCATTTCCTCTGGGTAAATATAAAAAATACATTCATAAAATAGATGAAATGCCATCTGATAGTCAAAATTGATTGAAAGGAAAATATTTTAAATGTTTTCTGTTTGAGGCTAGAGTCTTAGTCTTAGTTCAAATTTTCTCAAAGAGTAACTTGTCTAAATACCATATGAGTACACCTTTCCTTTCTTCTCTGTAACAGTCATCGTTGTCCAAGGTCATGCTGATTATATTAAGACCAGCTGTCTTTGAGGTAATGTCAGCATCTGTTGTTAGTCTATAACGTATTCCCATCCAAGTGATTTACAAGGAAGCCAGTGAAAGTCTGTACACATTCCTACTCATCATTAATAGCTGAACTTGAACTTTTAGTTCAAGCCTAAGTTTGAACTTCATTGTGTTATAAAATTTTTCTATTTAGTACCCTGAGTGTATTTTCTTTCATATACATGACCTAGTGGTAAAAGCATTGATCCAAAAATCTTAGGTTCTAGACCTAATATTTCTACAAACACCTTGCAAAACTCTGAACCATATAACCTATGGGTATCTCAATTTCTTTTTATTAAAATGACTAATTTATCTCTACCCCATATTGCCTCATAGGGGTGTTATTGAACTATCATATATAATGACTTGTTTCTGTCATAGGCAATATACTTATGAAGATGAATTCCAATAATTTAAGGTCACATTTAATTTCTTAGAATTAAAAGTACGCATATCTTTTATAGCCCAAAGGTGTGACAAAATCTATGATTAATGACTGACTGAAAGCCTGAGTTCAGCAATAATGGTAATTTCTTAAAATTCAGTTTAAGAAGAAATCTCCAAGAAAAGATGAATATAAAAATAAAAAACTTAAATAAGTTGAAAAAGAAAAACTAAACTAAAATAGGAGGACAGAGAAAACACATTCATCAAAGCTTCAAAGGGTGGTCAATATGCAAAATAGTCAAAACAATTTGTTAAAATACATAGGAAAATGACCAAGTGTGCAATAGATCTATAGAGAAGAAAGGATGAATAGGCAGCTCAAACAAAAGAAGACAGAAATAATAAATATGATGGGGAATTGTTCAACCTTCTCATAATCAGAGAAATTCAAACTAATGCAAAAATTATTATGCAATCTTTTATTTATTACATCTTTTTATTACATCAATAATTAATGTAAAACTCATTACAATTAACATATATAAAATATATGAAATACAATAATGAATACTTTATATCCCCATGCTTTGCTTAAGAAACCACCACACAATTTTTTTTAATGATAACGCTACTGACCAACTTATGGTAATGGCAACATTACTATATTGTGCACCACTGGTGGTATTATAAAATTGCCTCAACATTTTACAAAGCAAAATGAGGACACATCACTAACCTTAAAATAATACATACATAACTTCTTGCCTAGAAGTTCTGAAAGATATTACTCATAAGAAGAAAAGCATTTAGACAAAACTGTATTCATTTTAGCATTATGTATAGTGCTGAGAAATTGGAAGTGACCAAATAGCCAACATTTTGGAAATGGCTAAGTAATGGTATACCAATTCAATGGGTAATTGTAGAACCTGTACAATTGAAATTTTGAATCCTGCTAAGCAATTTTTGTTACTGAAAAACATACATAATATAAAATTTACCATTTTAACCATTTTTAAGTGTATGGTTCTGTGGCATTTAATACATTCACATTGTTGTTAATCATCACCACCATCCATCTCCGGAACTTTTTCATCATCCCCAATGGAAACTCTTTACCCATTAAACAATAACTCCCATTTCCCCATCCCCTGAGCTCCTGGCAACCACCATTCTACTTTATCTCTGAATTTAACTAATCTAGGTACCTCATGTAAGTGCAATCATATAATATTTGTCCTTTTTCATCTGGCTTATTTCACTTAGTGAAATGTCCTTAAGGTTCATCCTTATGCAACATGTGTCAGAATTTCTTTTTTAAGGCTGAATACTGTCCCATTGTATGCACATCCCGCACTATACATTTATCATGGACATTTGGATTCTTTCCACCTTTTGGCTCTGTAAACAAGGCTGCTCTGAAAATGAGTGTCAAATACTTCTTTGAGTCTTTGCTTTCAGTTCTTTTGGGTATATACCCAGAAGTGGAATTTTTGGATCATATGGTAATTCTACATTTAATTTTGGGGTGAATTGCCAAACTTTTTCTACAGTGGCTTCACTGTTTTATATCCATACAAGTAGTGCACAAGGGTTCCAGATTCTCCACATCCTTGTCAACACTTGTTTTCTGCTTTTTGTTTTGTTTTTATAACAACCATCCTAATGGGTATGAAGTGGTATCTCAAGTGGTTCTGATTTGCATTTCCCTAGTAATGTGATGTGGAGCATCTTCACATGTTCTCACTGGCCATCTGTCAATTTTCTTTGGAGAAGAAGTGTATCTTTTGAAGTCCTATGACTTTTTAAATTGGGTTTGGGGTTTTTGGATTTTTGCTGTTATAGGAATTTTTAATATATTCTGAATATTAATCCATTTTCAGATATATGATTTGCAAATATTTTCTCCTATACTGTGGGTTGCCTTTTTCACTGCGTTGATGGTATCCTTTGATGCATAAAACTTTTTTGGGTTTTTTTTGGCTTAAGCAACACAAAGTTCCTCTCTGTTTTTTTTTTTCATTTTGATGTCCTTAATATACAATTACATGAGCAACACTGTGGTTACTAGATTCCCGCCATTATCAAGTCCCCACCACATACCCCATTATAGTCACTGTACATCAGTGTAGTAAGATGCTTTAGAGTCACTACTTGCCTTCTCTGTGCTATACTGCCTTCCCCATGCACCGCCCCCCTACATTATGTGTGCTAATCGTAATGCCCTTTATTCCCCTTATCCCTCCCTTCCCACCCTTCCTCCCCAGTCCCTTTTCCTTTGGTAACTGTTAGTCCATTCTTGGGTTCTGTGATTCTGCTGCTGTTTTGTTCCTTCAGTTTTTGCTTTGTTCTTATACTCCACATATGAGTGAAATCATTTGGTACTTGTCTTTCTCTGCCTGGCTTATTTCACTGAGCATAATACCCTCTAGCTCCTTCCATGTTGTTGCAAATGGTAGGATTTGTTTTCTTCTTATGCATAAAGGTTTTTAAATATGATAAATTCCAGTTTATATTTTCCTTTATTGCCTTTTGGTGTCATATCCAAGAAATCACAAAATCCAGTGTTGTGAAGATTTTGCCCAATTTTTCTTCTCAGGATTTTATAATTTTAGTACTTCTATTTATGTTTTTTATCTATTTTGTGTTAATTTTTGTATATGGTGTAAGGTAACAGCCCAAATTAATTATTTTGCAGGTAGATATCCAATTTTCCCAGCCCCATTTGCTGAAAAGACTGTACTCTCTCCCATTAAATGGTTTTGACATTCTTGTTGAAAATCATTTAATTTATTTTGGGGCTATCTATTCTATTCCATGGGTCCATATGTATTTGTCATTATACCAGTAACATGCTGTTTTGATTACTGTAGCTTTGTAGTAAATTTTGAAATCAGAATGTGTGAGTCTTCCAACTTTGTTCTTCTTTTTCAATGACAAAATGTTTTGGATATAACGTAAAATGAAAAATGAAAAACAAAATGTTAATTAGAATGTAAAAAATTGGCTTTATATAAGGCCAATATTAGAAAGGATTACATAGAAATCAAACTAGGGTGGTGGAACTATGAAGACTTATCCCTGTTTTTAAATTCCTGATTTTAAACTATTTTGTTGCTGTCAAATTAAAATAAAATACAAAAATAATTATATGTATAATAGAAATGATGTGTAAGTACATGTTAGGATAATTTAGCCTTTTAAAAAAGTGATGAGAAATCAATCTCAATATAAATTGTTCTTGCCTTTTCAGGCCATAGTACATCTTTCTATAGTGGATTAATAATATCTTCTATATTGATATACAGCTAATATACACCTTTACGGTAGTTATCTTAATATTATTAAAGCCTTGAGCTTATTATCTGAATATCCTTACAGATAATTTTTCAAAATCATCCTTTATAAAGTCACTTCAAAACCTCACTAATATTTTTGGAAGTCTTTAGGAGTAGAACAGAAATATGTCTTATTATTATTATGGTAGGCAAGCCTACTAATGATAAAGTGAAAAGCATTTTTGCACATATCTATGGTGATGGCACAATTTCTCATTACTTCAACAGAGAATCCTGTCCTTTCTACAAAAGGTGCTGTCTTCAAGTTTTACTTAATTCTAGTTAGACTTACTAGTTTGGACTAGAAGAAGGGATTTGGCTAGACCAAGAGATAGTACAGCCAATCTTGTAGATTGGCTGTACTAATCATAATACTAATCATAATACCCCTTAATACCCTTCTCCCTCCCTCCCCCACCATTCCGCTTAGAGTCTGTGAGTCTGCTGCTGTTTTGTTTCTTCAGTTTTGCTTCCTTGTTATACTCCACAAATGAGGGAAATCATTTGGTTCTTGTCTTTCTCTGCCTTACTGCCATCAACTTTAATTGAATTGTGTTATGCCTATTTTTTTACCTCTTAATGATGGTGCAGATTCTTAGACATCACTCGTTCTATTTAACATTTTTTTTGTATCCTCCTTAGGTTTCTCCTCATCTCTGTGTGCTAGATTTAATAAATTCGATAAATATTATTTGAAAAAAATGTTTTCCTTCATTTCAGGAGTGGCAATTTGTACAGTCAAAAGGCTGCTTTTTCTTAGAAGAAGATGGTGAAATCATTAGTCATCAATACAGGATGCAAGTAGTTCAGAGATCCATGGTTTATCTAACAATTAAACCATTAAACCTGTGTCAAGTTGAAGGCAAGTTTTAATTTTCTGTGTATATTTTTAAATACCAATTTATGCCCTCTTTGAAATACTTATATATTTGATAGTTCTAGTTAGTGAAAAATATTCTAAGAAAAATATGGTTACATATACAGAAAGTTACATACATTTAAAGAAAGTGTTAGTTTATACATTGACTATGTCATATTTTACAAAGCAGGTAAATTACTTTTCATATGTTTAAAGCATGTTTTAAGTCATTTAAAAACAAGAACAAAGTATTACCTGGTTTCCAAAATGACGTCAAATGTACTTTTTGTTTGCTAATTAATCCTTAGCTTTTCCATTTGTCAATTTTTAAAACTAGTATGTTTAAGAGAAATTCTGTAGGAACATAATTAGAAATAATAAGAATTACAGATGTTTTTGAATACCTTCAAAGTTATATGTCATATGATTTAGGCAATCCTTATTAATAATCTCTGTATTCATGGTAATATTTTTTTTAGTACACAAGTTGCTAGATAAAAATGAATAATTTCCTAGTTCTAAGGTGGTTATTAGGTAATTCTTCATTAGTGAATGTCCATATTTCCAAGGTAGAGAAAAAAAACTTGATCCCTTGAGGGAGGAGCTGCCAAGTCACATTGCCTAGGGCTGTGGGTACAGACAGGGACAGCCATTTTTTCTGTCTTCCTTACAAGCATGGGAGTAAGCTGTGGATGTAGCCTTGGTAGAACGGATGGGTGAAGACTGGAGGAGGTGGCAGACATTCCAGGTGGAGGAAGTACTCTGTTCAGAGGCTCTGAGTGAGAGTGTGCCTGGTATTAGAAGAACAGCAAGGTGGCTAGAGCAGCTAGAATGAAGTAGACAAGGAGAGTGTGGTAGGAGAAGAAGACAGGGAGGAACAAAGACAAATATCAGGTATAGGGTTTCTTTTTGCCATATGGGGGCTTTTACTCTGAGAGAAATGAGGAACCCTTAGGAGGATTTTTCCCATGGCTGCCATCAAGATTTTCTCTTTATATTTGATTTAACCAATTTGAATGTCTAAGTGTTTTTTATTTTTCTTGTTGATGCTATTGTTGTGGATTTTTTTTATCCTGCTTAAATTTATGACTTGTCTTTCATTATTTTTAGAAAAATTTCCACTATTATTTCTTCAAATATTTCTTCTGCCCTTTCTCTTGTTCTTCTGTTTGTGCTGTACCACAAATAAACCAGTAATTGTATCTCATCTCTCTTTGGAAGAGTCTGTCTTTCCTTGAATTTTAGGCTACATCATTGCCCTGTGACCTCAGCTATGATGGATTCAAGAAAAGTTACAATTTTATAGTTTATTCACTTTTTATTATTGTTGTGGTGGAAGCAACCTTCTTCCAACTCTCAACTCCTTGGGAGGATTTTTTGAGTGGAGACAAGATATAATCTAACTTATATTTTAGCAAGAACAGTCAGGTTCCTATATTGAAAATTGACTGAAAGGTACCCAAGAGAAAGCAAAGAGGCCAGCAAGGAAGCTACTGCAGAATTCTAGGAAAGGACTAATGAAGTACCCTCCAGGACAGTGCTGAGAGGATAAGTAGAGATTCTGGAAATATTTTGAAGGTAGAACCATAGAATTTCCTGCGGACTGGTTGTGATATGTCAGAGAACAAAAAAGTTAAAAAAATGATTCTGAAATTTTTGGCAACTGAAAGTAATGAATTACTATTAACTGAGATGGTGAAGAGTATAGATGGACAGTTTTTTTTTTTTTTAAGGAGTTGGGGAAAGTCAATTTTAAACATAGAAATCCAAGTGAAAATATCAAATAAGCAGTTGGTTATATAGGCCTAACTTGCAGAGGAAAGGTTGTAGCTAAAAATATAAATTTAGGCATTGTCAGCACATAGGTTGTATCTGACATCTCTTCGTCCTATGCTCCTCCACAGATAAGCCAGGGCTTGTAACCTGTCTCTCCTTCAAAAGGTTTGTTTTTCCTTGGATTTTAGGCTACTTGGTTGCCCTGCAACTGCAGTTCTCTGATGAATTCAAGGAAAGTTACGATTTTTAGAAAATAGATAGAGAATGGTTCTAACAAGGTCACTGTATATAGGTATGTGCTTTATTACAAATGCTGTGATGTTTGCATGCAAAAATAGGATGTGTATTTCTAAAAAAAAATCCAGAGGGGAAAGAAACCACTAACTTTTTAAGGAAAGAGTGAGTAGCGACTGTTTACTTTAAGATTTTGTTTGTTTGTTTATAGGAAAACCATCCCCTTGGTTATCAGTTGATACTGCTTTATATATTCTTAAGGAAAATGAGAGTCCAGCAAATCTACAGCTCATGTGTTTTACTGAACTACATAGTAGAGAAGTATACATATTTATTTTCTTATGTTTAGTTTAAACATGAGTATGAATTCAAGTTTGGGGAAGATAATGGTTTTTTTATATTTATATATTTTTACATTCTTGAGTCTTCCCTTTCAATTAGGGTGTATATAATACTTAAACACTATGTACATTATATGTGTTCTACTAATTGTGAAGGACTTTTTCTCTTTGCTGAGATTTAAGAATTGAGGATTGATTGATTGGCAGTCTTGGGTTTATAACTTGTAAGTTGTATGGCATTGTCTTTCACTTTCCTGTTCTCAAAGTGACCTGATGCCTCACATGTGAACATTTTGTTATATTGTTATACTTAGTAAAAATGATTGATGCTAGTGGATATTTCCCCCTAAATATAAGCAATTCAAGACTTTGGAAAAGTTGCTTTAGATGTTTGTCTTACTTATACCACTACTGCAAAAAAAACCTTCAAGATTACTATCCTCAGGCCTGACTTATATTATAGGGTTCAAAAATAGATTGTTCTGAAGAAATGCTTTTAAATAATTTTAAATGTTGCTCATAGGGTTGTTCTGATCTTTTTTAATTATATATTTACTCAGAGGCCAAATATGTGAGGCAGATATGTAAATGTGGCTATATATTTTATGAGGACTACAAAGTACATCTGCTACACAATAACAGGAATAATACTATTCAAGGGCTTACTGCAATATCATATTTAATCTTTATATAGGTCCAGTGACAGACAAACATTTCCCTGAGGGAATATTATAAAGAAGTCTTTATTGTAGGCTTTCTAACAGACAAGAGTAGTTATAGGCAAGAAACAAATAAAATGTCTAAAGTTAATGTTTTGACTAAACTCTTCTTCAGAACTGACTACAGAGTTAAGTTCAAGATAAAGCATTGTCTAATATAGCAACTTTTCCCATTTTGTTTTGGATAAAATTACTTTCTTTTGAGATTGTATGTGTAAAAATGTTAGTATTTAGCAAGCCTGTAATAAAAGTTTGAGCAAGTTTCTGTTTACCTCTTTATGGGCTTTTCTTTATCTGCAATATGTCATATTTTAAAGAATTTTTTAGTTTTAGTTTTAGTTTCATAATTATTTTCTTGAAGAAGAGTTTTGTGCCCATGAAAGACTTTCCATTTGCTATCACAGTGGCAATTCAAGGTTATATGTGGAAATAAGGATGATTCATGGGATAACATATAGTAGGAAGCAGCAAAGAATTGTCAGTCTGTGTCTGGCCAACCTGAAAGATTATGGTTTTCAAAGGATGGATTTGGTCAATTTTTAGTCTTCAAAATGACCCTCAATTTTACTGGATTGCTTCTTGTATCAAAATAACAAACATGGTCACTTTAGGATGATTATGGTTTCTCTGTCTTGTGAGGGCAGAAATAGGGTTGAAACCCAGAATTCAAATGAACAACTTTATTTTGTACTTGACTCCCTGAAATGACCTAAAATATGCCTAGGTTTTGAAAGTTTCTGGACACAATTCCAGACAGAATTCCCTAGAGCTGTTCTGTGCTGAAGGGCAAATAGCTGGGTGCTCAGCTATTACAAATGACTAGAAAATGCTTAGATTTGACATATTTGACAGAGATAATCCCTAGGTTTTATAGGAAGCCACTGGGCTCCAGAAAGTACCTGGGAAGTCCATAGAGAAATACCATTTTGCTTTCTTTTATAGAAGAGGAGAATAAAATGTTTTCCTGTACAAACATCCTGGCACACGTTATAAATATCCTGTGATGGAAAACAGTTCTGTAAAAGGTAGTTTTATCTGGGATTCTGCCATCTTGTTTTACAGTCCATATTACATAAATAATAGTAAAATTCCAGTGCTTTTGTCCGCATAATTGGATTCTTACAAATATGGCTAATTCATACAAATAGGAAATTCTTTTAAAGTACATTTTATTTTTGTTCTTTGTCATTGAAATCTGATTTACAAATCATATATTTAAATCACATTAGGGAACTGTAACCTGGAAAAATTATTCCAAGATCCCTCTCCTTCCTTCCTGTTAAAGATATTTATATTACAAACATTTTTTAAGATTATTGGGGAAGATTTAGAAGTTATATAACTTACCTGCTATAGTTTTAGACTTTTATTTTTAAAATATATAAAGAACTACATCTAGGAGTCTTGTACTAGGATTACCTTAACAAAAAGATTTTGAGGTCTAAAAGATTGATAGAGCCATTGAATAGAATTGGTGAATATTGATTAAAAATTATTTCTAATTCTTCCCTTTCAGAAGAATGATTAAAAGTCATTAAGATGTTTTTTGTTTGTTTGTTTGTTTGTTTTAATTCTCTTGAGAAAAGGTGTTTGGATGGACTGGTGAACTAGGACCTGGAATTTACTGGCTAATTCCTTCCACAACTGGCTGTATTCTGAGAAAAGAAATAAAAACAATAGCAGAAGAAGCCCAACTTGTGTATAGAGATGAAACAGGGGAATTATTTCTTACAAAGGAATTTAGGTAACTTTTATTTATTAAGATTAGAACTCTAACATTTGCCTGTGTATGTATGAACAGCCTCTCTTCAATACTTTACTTTGGCCAGCCACCAACCCCACTCCCAGATTCTAGTTCAGTAACCCAACTCATTCACTAGGCATTTGAAAATGACCTTCCCTTCATGGGTCTGGGATTGCTATTCATTTCCAGCAAGTTCATTTCCACACATTTGGCAAGTCAACTTAAGTCACACATCAATGGATTTTTCCCCAGCAGGACACTGCCTTAGAAATAGATCTTTCTAGTTGCACTACTGACTTAGATAATTGTCAAATATGAAATACAAATCCTTGTGTAGTTCTCCCACACCCTGGATATATATCCACAATAAGATCTGGTAGAGAGAAAGAAGAATATAGATTGGAGAAAGGAGAAAAAACCAGAACTATTATTCATTGGATTCCTACTCTATGTTGAGATGCTATGGTTGCTTTAGGAGCTTGTTTATCTCATGTAATACTAGACTGAGTACAAACTCTGTTTGGATACATTAACTTTATTTATTGAAATGTAGTTTATACACTATATTATATACTAAATATAGTTTATATGCTATATGTTATACTAGTTTCAGATGAACAACTTAGTGATTCAACAATTGTACACTTTAATAAATGTTCACCATGGTAAGTGTAGTTATCTGTCACCACACAAAGTATATTCCATTGTACATACGTTCCACATTGTCTGTATCCATTCATCTATTAATGAACACTTCAGTTGCTTCCATAACTTGGCAACTGTAAATAATGCTGTAATAAACATAGTGGTGGAAATATCTTTTCAAATTAACTATGTCATTTTCTTTAAGTATATTCCTGCATTGAAATTGCTCAGTCATATGGTATTTCTGTTTTTAGTATTTTGAGACTTCCCATAGTAGCTGCACAATTTGCAATCCCACTAACAGTGTAGGAGGGTTCCCTTTTCTCCACATCCTCACCAACACTTGTTATTTCTTGTCTTGTTGATACTAGCCATTATGACTGGTGTGAAGTGATATCTCATGCTTTTGATTTGCATTTCCCTGATGATTAGTGATAATGAGCATCTTTTCATGTGTCTGTTGGCCATCTGTATATCTTCTATGAAAAAAATGTTCTGTTCAGGTCCTCTCCCGATTTTTAATCAGATAATTTGTTTTTTTGGTGGTGTTTGAGTTCTTTACATATTTTGATATTAGCCCCTTATCAGATATTTCATTTGCAAATGTATTTTCCCATACTGTAGATTGCCTTTTCATTTTGTTGATGGTTTCCTTTGCTGTGCAGAAGATTTTTAGTTTGATGTAGCCCCATCAAACAAATAAAACAATAAAATATTGTTTATTTTTGCTTTTGCTTCCCTTGCCTGGGGAGACATATACAGAAAAATGTCTAATGTTGATGTTTAAGAGTTTACTGCCTATGTTTTCTTTTAGTAGTTCTATGGTTTCAGGTCTTATATTTAGTTCTTTAATCCATTTTGAGTTTTTTTTGTGTGTATAATGGAAGAAAATGATCCAGTTTCATTGTTTTGCATGTAGGTGTCCAGTTGGATACATTAACTTCATAGTTCACAAAATTGATTAATGCCTTGGTATTGCTTCCTTTTGAAAGTTATCCTAATAGAAATCTTTGGTCTAGTTGCCTTAGAGACAAGAAGTAATTTATTTTTATAATTTTAGGTCAACTTTGTCAGATATATTTGAAGTAATTGATTTAGATGGAAATGGTCTTCTTAGCCTTGAAGAATATAATTTTTTTGAATTGAGAACAAGTGGTGAGAAATGTGATGAAGATGCTTGGGCTGTATGCAGAGGTAAGCACTTTTCCATAATGTATATGTAAAAAAATATATAGCGCTGTTTCATCATTAAAAAGTAAAATATCAGACTTCTGCATAGAATGTTATTATAACATTAGGATAGTTGAAAAATAATAGCATTGTTTTCAGACCATACTTAAACGTTTATTTTTCTTAAACTGATAGTTGGTGTAGTACTCAAGTAAAAAAAAAAAAGACGATTTACTTAATTGTAATTTTATTTTCAACCTGTGCACTTTGGAGCTTAGAATGTAAAAAAGTATGTCCTAGCTCTTGATACCAGTGGGACCTACCTGATCAAGAGCCTGTGCACAGGATAGGATGCAAAGAGCTAATAGGGCAGAGTTTTACTGAGAAGAAGTTTCCAGGAAGTTATTTATACATGTTAAGAATTCTTTAATTTTTTGTGTATGAATTGAATTAAGAAAGTCCATCCATAGAGGTATGGAAGCAAAAAATACCAAGGACAAAGAGTAATACTAAGAATGAGGTAGTCAGTTATCACTTGGGAGAAGTCTGGGAAAAGTGTCGGACTTCTGTACTTAAGCCAAGGACTGAATGGTCAAAGGGGAAAACCAAAAAGCCATAGCCAACTACAGACCACAGAACAAGAGGTTTGAGGAGACCAGAATGTAGTCATAAGAGAGATTAACTCACATATTGCTATTACTGGGGTAGTCATGTGTCCTACTCCTCTGATTCTTAAAATGCTTTAAGCTTGGCAAAGTCAGTGAGCCAGATAGGAGTCTGATAAATCAGTTTTATTTGAATGGCAAATAAGGTAGAAACACTATTAATATAAAAGATTTTAAAAATATATCTCTTTTTAAGGGACTAGCAGTTACCAAAGGGAAGGGGTTTGGGAGGGTGGGTGGGAGGGAGGGAGAAAGGGATTAAGGGGCATTATAATTAGCATTCATAATATAGGTAGGTCATGGGGAAGGCAGTATAGTATGAAGACAAGTAATGACTGTATAGCATCTTACTATGCTGATGGACAGTGACTGCAATGGGGTATGATTGGGGACTTGGTAATATAGGTGAAGGTTGAAATAACAATGTTGCTCATGTGAAACCCTCATAAGATTGTATATTAATGATACCTTAATTTAAAAAAATATTTTTAACTGAAAGTTTATGTGATATAATTAATAACAAGAAATATATATTCATTTACAGTGTGAAACTTTGATTAACAAGACTGATAATCCACATAACAGAATATTATTCTTAGGAAGATACAATCATCTTATAAATTTAATGATACAATCTTTTGAATCCCTGTTGTTAGCTCTAGTGTATCTTCTATGAGAGTGAATTATAATTAGGATTTTCATATGGTAAAGTTGATAAATTTTAGTTTAATAATTAAATTAATAAGTTGATAGTAAATAATTTTTGAGATTTTGCTGTGTACCAGGTGAAAGTACTTCTACACATCAGCTCTCTGATATGTACACTATCATTTTTCTCATTTTACAAATTAGGAAACAAAATCAAAGAGGGTAAGTCACTTGATCAAAGTTACACAGAAAAAAAATTTCACAGCTGAGTTTCAAACCCAGGCAGTCAGGCTCCAGAACCTTAAATACCATGCTACAAAAATCTCCAAGAATGGTTGACTTAAAAATGATGTGGGGAAAATGTCTCCTTCAACACAATTAATAATACTACAAAGAAATTGGCTTTTTAGGTTCTAAAATGTTTATTTTCATGTCATACATAATACTAATTTTATTAATCTTTCCCCATGATAATAAGAAAACATGTTGTTAATCTATAAGATCATCTTAATAAACTTTTTTTAGATTTAAAAGTGCCTTTATATTTATTAATAACCTTTATTTTTAGAGAAGTTTTGTTTTCAGTAAAGATTGAATAGGTTGCTCCTATATCCTTCTACCCCCTCTGCCAGTTCCCCCTATGATTTTTTTTCTCTCCTTTTTTTATTAGGGTATTATGGATATACATTCTTATGAAGGTTGCACATGAAAAAAAAATGTGGTTACTACATTCACTACATTCACCCATATTATCGAGTCCCCCCAAACCCCATTACAGTCACTGCCTGTCAGTGTAGTAAGATGCCACAGAGTCACTACTTCTCTTCTCTGTGCTACACTGTCTTCCCCATGATCCCCCCCACACACCATGTGTACTAATCATAATACCCCTCAATCCCCTTCTCTCTTTCTCCCCAATCGCCCTCCCCAATCCCTCCATTTTGGTAACCACTAGTCCCTTCTTGGAGTCAGTGAGTCTGCTGCTGTTTTATTCCTTCAGTTTTGCTTTGTTGTTTTACTCCACAAATGAGGGAAAGCATTTGGTACTTGTCCTCCGCCTGGCTTATTTCTCTGAGAATAACACCCTCCAGCTCCATCCATGTTCTTGCAAATGGTAGGGTTTGTTTCTTTCCTATGACTGAATAGTATTCCATTGTGTATATATACCACATCTTCTTTATCCATTCATCTACTGACGGACACTTATGTTGCTTCCATATCTTGGCTATTGTAAATAGTGCTGTGATAAACATAGGGGTGCATATGTCTTTTTGAATCTGAGAACTTGTATTCTTTGGGTAAATTCCTAGGAGGGGAATTCCCAGGTCAAATGATGTTTTTAGTTTTAGTTTTTTGAGGAACCTCCATATTGCTTTACCCAATGGTTGAACTAGCTTACATACCCACCAGCAATGTACGCGGTACCCCCTTTCTCCACATCCTCTTCACCATTTCTTGTTCTTAGTCTTTTCGATGCTGGCCATCCTAACTAGTGTGAGATGATATCTCATTGTGATTTTAATTTGCATTTCCCTGATAATTAGCAATATGGAGCATCTTTTCATGTGCCTCTTGGCCATCTGAATTTCTTCTTTGGAGAAATGTCTGTTTAGCTCCTCTGACCATTTTTTAATCAGGTTATTTGGTTTTTGGTTGTTGCGTGTGAGTTCTTTATATATTTTGGATGTTAACCCCTTGTCAAATATGTCATTTACAAATATATTCTCCCATACTGTAGGATGCCTTTTTGTTCTGCTGATGGTGTTCTTTACTATACAAAAGCTTTTTAGCTTTATGTAGTCCCATGTGTTCATTTTTGCTTCTGATTCCCTTACCTGAGGAGATGCGTTCAGGAAAAAGTTGCTCGTTTATATTCAGGAGATTTTTGCCTGTTTTCCTCTAAGAGTTTTACAGTTTCATGACTTACATTCAGGTCTTTGATCCATTTCAAGTTTACTTTTGTGTATGGGGTTAGACAATAATCCAGTTTCATTCTCTTACGTGCAGCTGTCCAGTTTTGCCAACACCAGTTGTTGAAGAGGCTGTTATTTTCCCATTGTATATCCATGGCTTTATCGCATATTAATTGACCATATATGCTTGGGTTTATATCTGGGCTCTCTATTCTGTTCCACTGGTCTATGGGTCTGTTCTTGTACCAGTACCAAATTTTCTTGATTACTGTGGCTTTATAATAGAACTTGAAGTTGAGGAGCATAATTCCCCCAGCTTTATTCTTCCTTCTCAGGGTTGCTTTGGCTATTTGGGTCTTTTGTGGTTCCATATGAATTTTAGAAATATTTGCTCTAGATCATTGAAGAATACTGTTGGTATTTTGATAGGGATTGCATCTGTATATTGCTTTAGGCAGGATGGCCATTTTGACAATATTAATTCTTCCTATCCATGAGCACGGGATGTGTTTGCGTTTATGTGTATCTTTAATTTCTCTCAAGAGGGTCTTGTAGTTTTCAGAGTATATGTCTTTGACTTCCTTCATTTGGTTTATTCTAGGGATTTTATTCTTTTTGATGCAATTGTAAATGGAATTGTTTTCCTGATTTCTCTTTCTGCTAGTTCATCATTAGTGTATAAGAATGCAACATATTTCTGTGTTTTAATTTTTATCCTGTAACTTTCCTGAATTCAGATATTAGATCTAGTAGTTTTGGAGTGGATTCTTTAGGGTTTTTTTATGTACAATATCATGTCATCTGCAAACAATGACAGTTTAACTTCTTCATTTACAGTCTGGATGCCTTTTATTTCTTTGTGTTGTCTGATTGCCATAGCTATGACCTCCAGAACTATGTTGAGTAAAAATGGGGAGAGTGGGCATCCTTGTCTTGTTCCCAATCTTAAAGGAAATGCTTTCAGCTTCTTGCTGTTAAGTCTGATGTTGGCTGTGGGTTTGTCATATATGGCCTTTATTATGTTGAGGTACTTGCCCTCTGTATCCATTTTGTTGAGAGTTTTTAACATGAATGGATGTTGAATTTTGTTGAATGCTTTTTCAGCAGCTATGGAGATGATCATGTGGCTTTTGTCCTTTTTTGTTGTTGATATGGTGGATGATGATGATGGGTTTTCTAATATTGTTCTGTCCTTGCATCCCTGGAATAAATCCTACTTCATCATGATGGATGATCTTTTTGATATATTTTTTAATTCATTTTGCTAAAATTTTGTTGAGTATTTTCACATCTATGTTCATCAGGGATATTGGTCTGTGATTTTCTTTTTTGGTGGGGTCTTTCCCTGCTTCTAGTATTAGAGTGATGCTGGCCTCATAGAATGAATTTGGAAGTATTCCCTCTTCTACTTTTGGAACTTTGAGGAGGATGGGTATTAGGTCTTCACTATATATTTGATAAAATTCAGTGGTGAAGCCATCTGGTCCATGGATTTTGTTCTTAGGTAGGTTTTTGATTAGCAATTAATTTCATTTCTGGTAATTGGTCTGTTCCAATTGTCTGCTTCTTTCTGGGTCAGCCTTGGAAGGTTGCATTTTTCTAGAAAGTTGTCCATTTCTTCTAGGTTATCCAGTTGATTAGTATATAATTTTTTATAGTATTCTCTCATAATTATTGTATTTCTGTGTTATATGTAGTGATTTTTCCTTTTTCATTTCTGATTCTGTTTATGTGTGTAGACTCTCTTTTTTTCTTGATAAGTCTGGCTAGGGATTTATCTATTTTGTTTATTTTCTCA